CCGCCGCCGCCGCCGCAGCGGTGTGGGGGGCGCGCCCAGGTGAAAGGGTTGGTTGGAGTCGGAGGGGAGGGTGGGGCCTCCTGATGGCGCCATACGGCGCCGCTGCTGCTGGTCGAGACTCGCGCCCGCCACAAGGACGGCATCAGTATAAACTCACCGCCCATCTGCTCCAGCGAGTGCGAGCCAGAGAGAGGAGGAGAGCGAAAGAGAGAGAGAGGTGGGTGACGACGGCGGCGGCGGCGGCGTGCTGCTTGAGTGCGAGCGGGACGCAGCGGCGGCGCGCGTTTGTGAGGGTGTTATTACTCGCACCGGGCTCCGTGTGGGGCGGGGTGGGTGGGGTGGGCCGGGGTATGGTATGGCGGGCGTGTGTGACAATGGGACGCGCTGTATGGCCTCGTGCGGCGCGCCGGGCCCATCCCCTCGGAGCAGCGCACAGAGCAGCACCGCTCTTGTTCGTGTTCCTGCTCGGCAGCGGCAGCAGTAGCAGCGCACAGAGCGGAGCTTATATTCTCCCCCATCCTCTCTCCTATTTTCGTGCGGCCGTTTTGCTGGTTGCTTTTCCTGGTTAGGCTATACCTCCTCGTCATTCCCTTTCTTTCCGTCTTGTATTCTCTTCCCTCTCCACTTCCCCCCCCCCTTCTGTCTGTCCCCCTCTCTCGCGCAAACACACACACGCACACTACACTACTTGTCTTCTTTTCCTCCGGGGATGAAAGAGGAGAAAGGAGGAGGGGGGGTATGAGCTGCTGCTGCGGCTGCTGTGCGAAGTAAAATTGTGTGCGGGGCGGTGGAGTGAGATTAAAGCGGTCGGAATGGAATGAGGACTTACAGCACCCCAGCCAGCAGCCCCCTGGCGCCCCCGGCTCGCCGCCGCCGCTGCTGTGCGCCACTCTGACGCGGCGAGCCAAAGGGCAACAGTGGCATCTCATTCCGCTGACGCGCGGGTGGGACTGTCCAGAGAGGGAAAAAAATGCTGCTTTTCGTTCAACTCACTGAAGGTCCAAGTCCGTTATTGAACGTCGGTCGAAGTGTTGATACGGGATTGGACCAAAAAAATTGCATTTAAATATCCGGGGTGAATTTCGCGGCATTCGAAAGTTCGGACGAAGTTTGCCGAAGTTCATCCGACTTCAAAAATAAGTGCACCGAAGTCCAATCTTTTTATTGCCCTGTGAGCCCGCGAAGCACAGCCTCCAGAGTACCATTGTTATGTGTACAGATACGAACGGACCGGGCCGCAGCGGAGCGGAGGACAGAGTGAAATGAAACTCCCTGGCGTCCGAGCTGGCGTCCCACCGGGGCAGCGGCTGCAGCGGCCGTGCGGCGCGCTCACCAAAGGAGAACGGCTCGGAACCACCTGTTCGCGACACGGACGGACTGTGAGGCCCACGACCAGCCACTAATTTAACAACGTATTTGTCTGTGGCTCAAACGTCAATATACTCTTATTGCGTTGTACCCATCTTCAAACCACTGCGAAAAAAACTAAGAAATAAATTTTCTTTTGTAAATAATGATGTACAACGAGTGTTGTGCAATTTTGCGATCAGTAACGTAAATTTATGTCAGCTCATTCTTGCTCGACGAGGAATACCCAAGCCCTTACGTAAGGGTGTCATAATAAATGGTTTTTGTAATTTTCAACATTTTGTAAAGCATTACTCTTAACCCATTTTTCAAAGAAAATTTTCCCGTAAGACATAAAAAATATATTTCGTGTTAATGCAAAATAGGTTCCATTCTTGAAGTTTTAGAAAAAGTCGCGATTACTTGCGCTAGCCTTCGTGATCGCGGCTGGCTGATGAGGCGTTGCGCGGGCATAGGCAACAAGAAGATCGCGACTAGACCGCTGTAGTACAGTACTACTAGTGCGTCGGCAGCAAGAAGGCGGCAGTACAGAGCGGTACGGCGCGGCAGGTATGCCGCCAGGAAGCCGGCCCGCCGAGTTTGCTTGAGGATCAGTCGGCGTAGGTCTGCTGCTAAGGGGCTCTTGCTTGTGAAGATAGAGCCCCCGCCCCACCACGCCCTGCCCCTTCTCGCCTCGCCCCGCCACGGCCGTGCCTTCCACGCCACGCCCCACAGCCCCAACTACGCCTGGGCCCTCATTGCCCCTCGGGTACGTGCCCCCTAATAAGGGCCCGCCCCGTCATACACTGTCGTCGCTCAAAGTTCGCTAAAAGTGACGAGGGCGAAATATTTCCATTTTATTTTCTCATCAAAATCTCAACGAAGCGATGCCAAGCGTGCCTTGTTGTACCTAAGTGGCATACCGATCAACGGAAACAAAAAGTAACGAATGGGAGTTTTATCACTTGCTGTTGGTTGCCGTCGTCCGCTGATTATATTATGCTTTCTTTTTTTGCAGAGCGCGTGCGAACGCCCTTCTGAGCCTTTGTTATCATAGCGCAGGCGGAGGGTGGGATGCTAAAGATAGGCAACCACCGCCGCCGCCGCCGCCGCCGCAGCGGTGTGGGGGGCGCGCCCAGGTGAAAGGGTTGGTTGGAGTCGGAGGGGAGGGTGGGGCCTCCTGATGGCGCCATACGGCGCCGCTGCTGCTGGTCGAGACTC